GACGAGTATCACGAAGAACGCATTATAAAGGCGCATAAAAAAAAAAACACGAAGGGATGATAAACAACAATCGGTGGCCGTGGAGAGGAGACGATTGCGTCGGAACGCCTCGTCGGCATCCGCAGTGTATATACCGACGATAGAGTTACTTAACCAGTATTGCAGTAACCATTAACCATGTTTATTTTATTTAGATTTCCACAGTGTTTCGACTCCGGTCCCGGATCATCTGGCCACCACCGGCAGCGCCAAACGTTCGTCTATTTAATCGTTATGTTAAAATATGACAAATACAATACATTACGGAGGATTAATTTTCGGCATAAATAATAACAAGCACATGTTATATTATGATGCATGCAATTGTTTATGTACTGCAATATTGACCAATAAGAGCTAATGCTCTTTCGTCCCTCCCTATGTGATTTGCATTACTTACCACCAACGATGGAGCCCTTCGAATTTTTTCTTTTCAAAATATTCTTACTAAAATACCCAGTAAATCTCCGTGGACAATCCTGGTCTCCTCCTCGACAAAACGGGCTAACGAGATTAAATCAAAAACCTCAGACTACGCAAACTAAGACCACTTTACCAATCCCAAATCTCTCAAAATAACAAAACATAAATTTGCAAACAAATACCTTGTCCTGCAATGACATATTAATACATCCAACTCGGGGCAACCTCAAAAAGCTCAAACCTTATTCAATTTTAAACGTTTCAATCGATAGCTTTTCATGTTCTTTCTAATGCTCCCCCTCATACGCGCACAATCGTACCTTGCATGATGACTTCAACATGCCAAAAATATCAATAATATCCACCCTTGCACTCTCAAAGCTTATAAATTGGACGTAACGTCGAGATTGACGGACGATCCATTCACTCAAGCTGCCGCGTAAAGTAAACAAAAACGAATGTCAACCTATTCACTTATTGTATATTGTAAATATCTTTCATAAGAAAAGTAGGTACTTGGCCGACGGTAATTTATTTTAAATTATTTTAATTAAATAAATATATGATCAATACATAATACATTTCACATGTAAAAATTTACACATTTTTCATTAGTTCATAAATTTCGGGTTTTGGATACAACAACTTGAAAAGTGTGTGGTCGTTGGATCGACGTACAAAAGCACCAAAATCCCAGATACTTGCTGTGTGCTTTATTCCAGATATTAAATTTTGAACCACGTGGTTAAAAATCGATAAATGTACAATCTTAATCGATATTGGACAATAGCATTGTCTGATTAATTAGGGATCGGAACTTAATGCACTTAAAAAAAAAGCACTAAATATGTAATATGCAGCACTTATGGGCTTCAACAGTACGAAATATGTGCACTCGTTATTTTTTACTCCCAATTTTCACAAATACAAATATTTTGTAACTTGTACTAAATATTTATTAACAAAAATTGGAAATTGTACATCAATAAAGGATTTGAAAAACACGATACAATAAAATACCTATTTAGTGAAAACTATCAAAATAAATATACATCAGGTACAAAGTGTTTACTTATTTTATACTGTCAAATTTTTAAGTTATATTATAAACATAATATCATTCTTTATTGTTCTAAAATATGGCAAGACTGAGAAATATACTCTTATAATAGTACAAAGTAACTAAATTTCATGCAAAAGCATGCACCATACATACGCTTTTAATATTTGTTTCGTTATGTCGTGAAATTATTTTCAAGCTTACAAAAAACATGCAAATATGCAACAACTCCCAAGCCCCAAGAGTGATTACTATCGATCGTCAGAGTATTCGTGTTATAACATTATATTTTAAGTAATTAATGCTTACGTCAGAAACAGCAACCAAGTACGAGATCTGTCGGAACTTCGTGACTCGGGTGGATCGCGGGTCCATCGCTCGTCTCAGGCGAGGCAGCCCTTTTAAGTTACTCCTCTGGTGGATCTTCTATAGGTTGAAAAAAAGAATAGTTCGGAGCAAGCTTGATGACCTAGATAGGACCGACTCGATGGCAGAGGGCCAGAAAGCAGATCTTGTCATCCTGCTTGGCACTGGTCTAACAGATGGAGTCGCGGCAATAGCGTGGCCCGGACGCAAATGATCCTTCCAGATCTGGGGAGACGGCCTACATTCCTCAAGTTTCCTGCAACACAGGATTTTGCAAGACTCTGGTGTTTCAGGCACTACCTGTACCGGACGAAGCGCCTAACTTTGGTGCAATCGACGTTTCTTTTTAAATATATTTGGCGCTCATGTCATAAATTAGGTATAGGTACCTATGATTTTGTATTGGAGCTATTAAGTCCTATACTCTGATTTTGGAGCAAAAGGTAATGTGTATTTTTATATCTCTAGCGCTTATGCACATCATATTATTGCATAGTCGCCGATAGACGATCAGAAAATCATTTTCCGTATACAATTGAATCTCATTGAATTCTGTTTGAATTCAAATCGAACACATCCATTTCACTGACCTTTACTCAATGACGACACAGATACTCTGCAGGACACGTGTACTATACACAGGAGACTGCAGAGCGGTGTACCTGTGTACCTACCCGTTCCCGAGTTTGAGCACAGTTTCTCAACATCCGTCTGTACGGATTCACACAGAATATTCTAACTACAGCAGTGGTCGAAATCATCCGGTTGTCCGGTTCGACCGACACTGTCCTAAAATAACCGCTGCGGCTGTCATAAACCGCAGCATGTTGCGGTCGACCCGCACGGTTTATCACCGCTACGAATGTAAAAGGGCAATGTGTTCACGCACATACCAACGAGTAGGTATATAACACACTGATGATTAAAACCTTTGTACGTCTTTTGAAAAACTCGAGATAAGTTTTTCTCAATCGGCGACGACTGCGGCTCTCTAAAAATGCAGTAGTGTGTCGATAACTCATTTTCGTGCGCAATGCAGTGTCATTAAGTCTTGTTTGAGGCGAATAACCCGAAAAATACACAAGTCCAATAATTTTTTTTCATTTCTTGAGCGATTTGATTTATCGAGACACGACTGTATTCAAGTCTCGAGTTCGACCGTCATCGATTGTATGTGACGCGATCCGGTCAGAAAATCTATCTAGGACGGAAGATTTTTACCGACACACGATGAGGTACAGGTATAAAGATGCATATATGTATATTATAATAGTACGTAGGTACCTCGGAATATGAGACCATATGAACAACAAATAGAACAAATTTTTATTTCAGTAAATCTTTTTTTCTTTATTGATATTATAGTATAATATTGACCTTACAATAAAACGAATAAGTACAAAAATATCAATATAATGTGTAAATAATAATATATATATTGTTACATGTTAAAAGTTCGTAAATGTATAACCACTGCCTAACAACATGATGCGGTGGTTATCAACTTACAAATTATTATATGTGTAATTATATAATATGTTCAGATAACTAAGAATTTTTTTTTTATATAATAAAATGCTGCGCAAATACTTTTCGCGTCGCCGAAGACTCGCAAAATACGATTAACAGACATTGAAAAACGAGAAAAAAAATGTATAATTTACTTTTATATAATATATTATGTGTATAAAATAAAAATGGTTTATTAATGATGGCAATAGTATACCATATTAATGTGAATTTTGTTTAGGTACTATTATATTATGGCACAGTAAAAAAAAAAGAAAAACATAGCAAACATGACCAGATTGACTCAACTTATACATCTAATATGGAAAGTCTATGCGTTTATTGTATATAATATGACCGACATAGATTTAAAAGAAAAGAAAAACGTAAGCGTATTTTCAAACGAAATTTTAAGCGTTTGAGTCTTATCTAAGTCCTATTGTTTTCTTTACGGGAACACATAAAACTTGGCATTCGATGTACGAATTCGTTAGTCTATAAATATTTGTACTAATTATTACCATTAAAAAAAAAAAGTTAAAAAGTTAAATAATCATAGCTTGATTTTTACGGCTTGTATTAAAGAAGCACATGACAACATAGTGAATATAATAATAATAATATATCATATACATATACATAAAAACTGTAATATAACATTGGGGGAAAAAAAAAAAAAAAAAAAAAAACAGTGTCTTAAATCTTTACTCAATATTTTCTTTAATATGCCTATCAACAATATTATATCATATATATGTAAGTAAATATGCGTATAATATATATTTGAGGACATATACCTAATACAGAAACAGATGTTTTATGTTCTCTACAAGACCAAAAATATTAATATTTACGATTACGATATACTTTTAAAAAAAAAATTTATAAATATATAATAAATGAAAAAAATGAAAACATGGTATTATAATCTATATTATATTCCAAATATTTATTTGACTATTTCGGTTGGTAACAATTCTAAAATGTATTTCCACTTCCTTGCAGACACTCAACAGTCGTATAAAGGCTGTAGAAATAAATCGGGAGAAAATAAAAGTTGAAATAGCCGGTGTGGAAAAAAAAATTTAATATATATATATATAAATGTAATAATAATAATAATAATAATAATAAAAACAACTGCGTTGATAACAGTGCAAAACTATAGAGATTAGTAGCATTTTTTTTTTATGTTTTATTATTTATATTTATATAGAATTCAACTTGGGTAGTTATATATGTATATATATATATGTTATGTATTAAATAATATTATATAAATTTTTCTCTAAGCAACTAAAATTCACCAAATGGTATATATTTTATTATATTTTATCATATGTATTATACATAGAATATCATTATAATATTACATAAAAGTGTGTATGTGTTTGTGGTGCGACTTACATTCTAAAATAATTATAACGAGGCCGAAACGTTACGTTCCCCCCCTTCCACCCGATTCACTTTATCGGATTTTAGCCGTCGGGACGGAGTTATATTATATATTTTTACACGCGGTTCGGGACACATCCAGGACTTACATATTATTATATACGTTACTATTACTATTTATTAATATTAAGTATTATACGACTACTTCTACTACTATGGAAAAAAAAAAATAATAATAAAAAATAAATCAACTTGGAACTGAGGTATGTATGTGGTGTGCGTGTACAAAAAAACACGTTTTTTAAATTTTTTTTCGTGTTTCCTTATTATTTCGTCCCTCCTTGTCCGAGCCGTTAACCCACGTCCCGTCGGTATATATATATATATATGTATTATCCACACAACGAAGCTAATTTGGGGGGAGTGGGGAAGAGACAAATCTCGGGAAGCCAATGGCTTCACGCGGACTTGAGGCCTGTGGAAGACGTGATTTCTATCGTTTTTCTTCGTAGATTTCTCTCCGAATTTTTAAATAATGGATAATGGAGAGGGACAATGTGAATAATAGAACAACGGTGTATGCTACATACTTAAAAATACTTTTTATAAAACTCTTACCGTTAACGAAAAAAAATATATATTATAATAATAATAAAAATAATAAATTAATTAAATTATATCGGTATTCCCAGTGGAGCAAACAAATCTTAAATAACGGTAATTTTCCTCTTTAACCATATTATTTTTTTATTATGATTTTTGTACTCTTTGAAAAACGGTGAATATAAAACTAAAATTAAAATGTGTGGAGAAGCCTGAAAACTGAATAACACGTTCTTCGTGTCGGAATCGGAATCAATATAAGTATAAGGTATGCGATTGTCATTTAAATATAATATTAATTATTGTAAACAAAACTCATGTAAAAGTGTATAAACGTTCGGAAGTACAAAGAAAGCAAAATCGTGAGTGATATTTTATCTATCAATGGAAACTTGAGCTTTTTTATTAAAATATATATATATATATATATATATATATAAAAAAAAGACTGCCGACACAAGAGATCTTTAAAAAAAATGTCGCACCAACCATGTGCTAAACTCTGGGTCGGCGAGTCTACCTTAAACGCTAGAAAAAAAATTGTAAGTAAATATAATAAAATAATATGTAATAAAATATCTATCTATTTTGATATAACTTAAAGGTTAATAAAATTTTAGGAATATGTTGGTTATATAGGTAGCCTTACCGGCGCACTTTACTGTACATTTAAATCGAATCTCGGTGGCGTATGAACGGAAACGAATAAAATATAAAACACAATGTCGTTCGATGTATATTATAAGTATCCGCTAATACCCCTGCCGCGATCGGTTGGGATTCACAGAATCTATTTAGGATGTTTCTATGAAAATTGAATTTTTTTTCGTTTTTGGATTGCGTTGAGCTGTTTAATGAAAAATTGGTTTTATAATATTATATTATGGTATATAAACAATCACCATTACACTGTTTAATAAACCGGAGCTGCTGTGGATAATAATAATAATAATCTTATTGTAATAACATTATATGTACGGAAACATGAAGCGTATTTTATTGCCTTCCCCATTAAAAAATAATAATAATAAAGTCAAAATAATCATAAAACCTAATCTTAAGACTAAACTAATAATCTTATTACAGTGCTTCTGAAAGTCAAAAATCTTACCATATCCGAGTACCTTAAACAGTATATAGGTATGATATAGCGTTTTATAATTATTGTTGTGTGTAAAATGTGTAATATATATGGACCGATGATTTATCACCGATTGGTTTGGTTGCACCTAACAGGTGAAATTTACTGTAGTGGAGTATAATAATAATAATATAAAATCGGAATAAAAATTGTTTTGTTTTGTTTTTCTGTGCAGTTTTTTCCTAGCAAATTTTTTTTTTTTTATAAGTCTGACGACGATCTCAAATCCAACAGTTTGTATTATCGTCCGACTCGGCAGTCTTGTCGTACGGCTTTTCGTACATTTGGTAATCCAATTCTTTGCGTTGTCTCTTGTGGGCCTCGACCATTGCTTCGATCTGCTCTTGGCAAGTCTTCAAAACCTCCTGGAGAAAAAAAAACGACCATCGCGATTAATGAAAAGCCCTCCAAACGCATGCCAGTTGGCGGGGATGGAGTGGGGGCATCGTTTTAATCGAAAGTGATGACGGGGGAGGTTGAGGGACGAATGAAACGGATCGACAATTAATATCGCACTGCCGTGTGGGAATAATAAAATATTGCGACGGTTATTGGGGCGTGTTTAAAGCGAAGATTTAATCAATTCATAGTCATCGGACTTACCATTAGCGCGAAACACGAGGTCTGTGCAGACGGAGCAGGAAGAGACGAAGAGTTATTATTATTCAGTGTATAATATTAATCACGTATCATTATATATTATGTCCGTATACCTCTATTATAAACGAGTGTGCGGGGCGACGATTGGTGGGAGGGGAGAGCTCGAAATTTAAATAAGTGGAATGGCGACGAATTGCGACGGCGGCGGGGCAAAAGCAGGATTGTGCTGTTAATTAACTTCCGATTGAAGTCGAATGAAAACATCACACACGGGCGGCGATTGTAATATGGTAATAATAATAATTATTGTTACTATTATAATTATACGGTCGTCGTATTGTAAATTATAATATTATGCATATGACTGAGTCAGTAGTTTGCCTATATAACATACCTACGATGATGATATTAAAATATTTCCGTTTGTGTGTGCTAAAACGGATGTTTAGTACGCGCACTCGCTTATCATTATTATTTATAAATCATCTTGGGGGGAGGGATAATGAGAAGGAAATCTCACATTATGTTAACAGGTAGAAAACGAAAACATGATATTATGTTAAATTCAGAAGAAGAGATGAATTTTGGGGCGTACCCGCCTTGTAAGCTTGCGCAGTTGTGTAAACCATATTTGTGTCAATAGGCAGATTAAGTCGGTATCCGCGGATTACGGCAACGTTATTGGTTATTAATTTAATATCTAAAACATTACGATTTATTTAGGTGCTACAATCGCGGTTGTATAAAAGTTATACGTCCGTTCGACGTTCGACTAAATTTACGGAGTAATCGTTTTATATATTTTTTTAAAATATTTATACAGTATAATTATTAATCATAATTCAATAAATTATTATTAAACATAACTTTGATGTTTTTATATAATCTGCTTCTTTCTCTAACATACGAAGCGTAATCGTAATTCAGGAGGTCAAGGTAGGCAGTTGCGCCCCTACATTTTATAGTGAGGGCAAACATATTGTTTTGTCCCCGGCCCTGTTCAATCTCTAATTTACAAAACTACTTTTTTTTTTTGTGCACCTTGTGATTGAATATTATTTTTCTTGTGCATTTTGATAATAAATTATATTCTGTAGTCGTTAATGCTATATTAAAGTAGTACTTATTAAGTACTTATACTTAATGCTATATTTTCACTAATTTTATAATCCTACAAAACTTCAAGGACGCATGTATTATGGACGGATTTATTTTCGGCAATAATTTTTTCCTCGATAGAAGGGCGTCGTTTTCCTCTCCCACTATATTTTTAGAGACAATGGATAAAAAAATATACATTATGTTTCCCGCCACCCGAAAAAAATTACTTTAAGCTACACAGGCAAAATCGGCATGACATTAATGAATGTAACGCGTTTTATCAAAAAATGTTTTTTTACATTTATTTCGCATATATATGCGCGTATTCCAACCCTTCCCCGTCTACACGATCGATTTGATAATATATTATTATACTGTTGTTAAAAAAGGCTTACCTTTTTAGAACCAGTGATGGCGTGCAGCTTATTGAACAAGTCGTACTTGTAAATGGCCGCGTATTCCAGTCCATTGAGAGCAGCCGCGATGCTGGCTCCGGCGATCACGCTGGGCTTGTACGAGCAAAATTTATAGTCTGAAACACAACAGCAAACGACAAACGTTAATATATGTTTGAAAAATAAAATGTTCAAAATAACAATATGTAGTGCGAGACCTATAGTAATGAAATACAATCAAATAATATTATATTCCTATACTACAACGTCAAAGAATACCGACACACTGTATTATGCAACTACACATTATTATTCTACAATAAAATAATACATGCAAATGCGAGGTGGGTATAAAGCATGTTAATAATAATATTATTATACTACGACAACATCATGGTGTTTTGTAAACGCAAGACGAGAAAAATAACGGAAAAGACCGCGCGGCACAGATATTTCGCGGACGCATTTGCCGCGGAGAGGGAATCGTCGATAGAAACACATTTTGACAAACAATAAAATATTATATTATATGTTTTGCTCTCACGTCACCCTTCGGCCGAAAACCGCTATTAAAAAAAATACGACGGCAACCGTGTATTATGTACGAGATAATATTTCAACGTTTTCGTATATAATAAACTTTATAACGTTATTATTATTTATTATTATTACGTTATTATTATTGTTGTTATTATTATTATTATTATTATTATTATTATTATTATACACTCTATACCGAGACGCGGCGCCCGGAGACACGATCGGCACCGGCCTTCCTCCCCGCCGCAGCGGACCCCCAGAACAGACCCCCTCGCGCCCGCCTATTAACGGCGCTTCTCCGGGGGGCACTCGGTAACGAGACGAGATGCTTAGATGTATAATATTATTGTTATTACGACGTGTATATGCGTATTTACTATTATTAATATTATTATATTGTGTGAGCTCGTGTATAACCCGCGTGGACGCGATGTGGAAATCGACCGGTGCGTGTACAGTACATAAATATATTACACATTATTATCATATTTATAATACACTCGTCGCTGTTGTTGTTGTTGTGTGTGCGATGTATAATATAACCAACACGTGTTGTTTTTTCGGGGACTCGGACAATCCGTCAGCGGCCGGCATACCTATTATGCTTTTCTACATTATGTGTATATAATATAATATATTATTATAATACAAGCCGTCCGAGTGCTGTGCCGCTACAATAATAATAATAATGATGATACGATAATAGACGCGTGTGAGTATATAGCTACGTAAAATAATATATTACACGGAGCGGCGCGGCGTCGAGTTCGTCGACGACAATAAAAAAAAAATTAATAAAAAACTTGTCGGTTGAAAAAAAAATCTTGTACGGCTATGTATACGGTGTGGTGGGAATCTACCATTCATATGCTTATCTATATAGGGGGTGACTGGAGGGTTTGTGCCATCCCCCCGAGGATGAGAACATCTCCGGATTGCTACTAAGGCGCAGACGGTTAAACTATAAAAAAAAGATTATTTATTGCATTCCCTAACCTCTTCAAAACGGTCTCAATTGAAAAAGTTATACATCATAATAATTAGAATCACTTTCGAAACATCTAGATTAGAAAACGAACGATTCGTGCAAGCGGCGTTTGTTGGCGGAGTTCGCGCTGGTGGACCGAATATAGAGCTTGTCCCGTGTCGTCTGCAGGAAATCGTGCGGATTGCACGGCCAAAGAAATTCGTCGGAACTGTACAGATCGGAGGCTGCGGGATGGGGGGCAGCATATAGTTTTTAGACTGTTGTTTTCACTCCAATTCTCGTCGGACAACGGTCTAGTCGGGATACTCACACACACACACACACACAAACGCATAATAGTCTAGACGCCCGGGGCCAAAGCGGTTCGGTCTCTCTCTCCTATATACACCACGCATCTCTCACTCAAAGCAGCTCACACACACATACACACACACTATATCCCTGTCCCTCTCTCTTACACATAAACGCACACACAAACGCACTCACTCATTCTCTCTCTCTCTCTCTCTCTCTCTCTCTGTTTCTCTCCGTCGTATACGTATATGATATATTAATATATGATGCCGGTGGTCTAAATCATATGTTGCGCACCGCATTCTTCTCAACGACCGCCGCCGCCACCGCCACCACCACCGTCCTTTGTTTCGCCAACTCGATCTTTCTCCATGTTCTCTCGCGCGCGCCAGCGAGAGATCGCGCACACGCACGCGCACGCACTCGGCGGGCGCTCACTCGGGGAAGTCGGGTACGTGACTGAATTTTTTTTTATCAACGAAATATTATAAATAATTATATGAAATACGCGCCACGCCATAGGAGGGAGAAAAATATGTGCCCGTGATTACTTAATAAATCTCGACGATATGGGACCGCCGCCATCGCCGCGTTAAGCATAAAACGTATGTAATAAATGTGTGCTTGTGCGTGTGTGTGTGTGTGTGTGTGTGTGTGTGTGTGTGTGTGTGTGTGTATAATATAAAAACAATGCGACGCAGCGCCATAAATTTCCACTCAGACGCGCGAGCGTGCACCGGTACTGGTTAGTGGCCGTCACTTGTAGCGGAGTCGTGGTCGGAGGCGGCGGCGGTGGCGGTGGCGGTCGTCGGTAACGGTGCAGTGGCGGTGCGACGGTATTGTGGTAGCGCATAGCGTTGGGAGCCGCCGCCGCCGCCGGACGAGAGATAAACGATCGAGAGAACGTCGTGTGACAACTGACAACCCCCGGGAAAGAGGGGAGGTGGTGACGTACCGCCGCGCCGCCGTTCTCCTCCTCCCGCCCGACGAAGACATCATAATCGGCGGCGGCCACGGCGACGGAACACCACTGATGAATCTCCGCCCTTATACTACTACCACTCCTCCTGCCCACCACCCACCACCACCACCGACGACGGTATAATGCTCGAGGGAAACGATACATAATAATAATAATAATAATAATAATAATAATAAAATAATATAGAGGTCGTCTTCTTCTTGTCGGTGGCGCAAAACAAATTAAAACCACCGCCGCCACCACAACCTGCACTCTGATGATCGGGGGAACAAAATAAACGAGCTTCGCAAGAACAACTCGCCGTCCGCGTGTAGATCGTATTTGCGCAGGATACGAATACGGGAGACAGAGAGAGAGAGAGAGAGAGAGAGAGAGAGAGAGAGAGAGAGAGAGAGCGAGAGAGAGAGAGGTCAAAAACGGATTCGAATGTTTATGAGCGCTGTAGTGTTTGTTTTCTTATCGAGAGATCCAAGTGAAACCGCAATTCCGGACACTACATATTATTATGATATTAGGCAGGTTTTGTTGTTGTCGAGCATATTATAATATTACATATCGTGCGGATCGACGGGCAACGGTCAACACGGTTTTTCGGCGGCAATGGTCTGTCGGCCGGGTATATATTATCATTATAACATTATATACTTTTTAGGTATTTAGTTTTTTACTCGAATATTGCGCAGTACGTATTCTGTACGGCCATGGGATGATCAAACGGTAGACGACGGTGCACACCGCCGGCTCACTAACCGGAGCGGTGTATAGGATAACCTACCTACCACTTTCATATATGATTAACTGTTGCGCGTATCGTATAGGCGCAGGCAGGGGTCGTCTCGTTTACACGCGTCGTTTGGGCTAAAATATCGTCTCCCGGTTTCGTCCAAAAAACGTCCGTATACCGCATACCAGCACCTCCGCCGCCGTGTAATATAGAATATATATTTATATTACCATATTATATCGTGTATATCAACCACGCCACCGCCGCCGTCTAGAATAACCCGTGTATAGAGGCCAGCCACATAATTTCGTCGACTTTCCAAATATCGTTTCGCCGCGGTTCTCTTTGTACTCGTCCCGAGCGCGTAAACCGATTTCGTGAATGAAATGTTTGCATAATAATAATAATATTATCGTAAACCCTAAACCGTATATTAAACGTACCTGTGTACGTATTATATTATAAACCGACAGCATTATGTTAAATATCTCGATATTGTATTTCACATGCGATTTGACCAGAATATTCCGGTCGGCGATTAATATCTAACTCTCGTCTCGGACGAGAACAAGTGGGAGGGCGAATAATATTGTCTAATAACGTCGCGTTCGATTGTATTCCGATCGTTTCTCGTCGCAGTGCAAACACTACTCGTCGGCCGCATAAAATAATATATTATATAGACATAATTAAATTCCTCGGGAACACCGCCGAGCGATGTTTTTGTACACGACACGACACTGGTTAGGTTACCATTTGTGTGAGTTGCTGATGTGACGATCGTACATTATGCAAAGAAGCGGTGGAATTGTTAAACACGAGCTTGAAAAAAAACAAAGTAAAATTTAATCTTTTGTATTCGGCGCAAATCGAGCAGTGTTTACGACGATAAGTCTTCGTGTTTTCATCTTCCAAATAAAATTTTTTTTTCCACCGCAGAATAGTTTATGGCCAACAGGGTTTTAGCCTCCGGGATGATAATCGCATGATTGCCTAGACCACAGTTACCCAAAAATGCACGGGGTTTGGTTACAGCAAGAAAAAATCATCGTTTTGTTGTGGCAGGGTGCGCCATCGGAGGGTGGTTGGGTGGGAACGGTTAGGCGAGGAATGCCGAAGGACGATGCGGTCGACGACGTAGCGGGGGGGGGGGGTCAGAACGACCTAAGGGAAAAGCGATCGTCGAGCGCACAATCGTATAATAATAATAATTATAAAACGTAATAAATCCCATGCGTGGCCCCCTCCGCCGCTGTAGATCATGCGCAAACATCACGGACGGTTGTCGCGTCAACCGGTGGGGAAACAACGGGAGGAGGGCGGTGGCATTACTGCATGGACATAAAACGCACGTACAAAGTAGATGAAAAAAAAAAAAAAACGTTTGTCATAGTCAAGAAAAACGGAAAAAAGCACACCGAATAACACTTAAAAACGTGTATACTGTCTTCGATGTCCGTGCATAAATATACAATATAATATACAGCAACAAGCCCTTCCCATACACATACACATCGATCAGCCCAATCCCGCGGGCACACAATCGTACGATTTACTTCTGCATTTATATGTTACAATAGCGAGAATGAATGTAATGAACGCAGTCGTT